CGTGTGCTCTTCCGATCTACTTTATTGGAACAGGAATACTCTTTCTGTAAAAGTTTTCGCTTAAAATATGGGATTAGAGGAAATTTCACTTTATAACTAGAATATTTTTTTTTGGGTGTTGTTCTTCCTTGACCCATTTTGCAGTGTCGCCATATTTTTATAAATAAAGCGTTTTAAGTAATATATGTTGTTTTATAACTTATTATTTTATAAATTGAGTCTAGAATCGATTAAATATAATTACTTTGACAAATGTAACATTAAGTTTTCAATTTAAAATATTTATTATTAACAAAGTTATTGTACAAAATGTAAATGGAGGATCATAATACCAGATTGTCCTCTATTAAAGAATCTTACAACAGCTGTAAAGATGTAAAGCAGATTGCTAAACGCAGCCAACGATTCGAATCTTCACTCGAGAGCTAAAAGAAGCTCGCGCACTTTGAAATTTATTAAACGAAGATTCTTTGATGTTTCCAGTGTTCGACGCCTCGGTCAAAATACCATCAGGTTTGATCACCGGCAATTACAGACAGCTGGGTAATTTTGATGAATGCTTGCGAGTAAAGAACGAGCACGGATTCATCGGGAAGGCTTGCAACGTGGCGGTGCAATTCGAGATCACCGCGAACGACGGTATGCCACGCGAATTGGACCTGGGAGACCTACTCGTAAACGTCGCGATCGCCTCGGTGAGTTCGTATTATTGCAATTACTGCGGTCCAGCGTACAATTTATAAAAGCGAACATTAGTTTATAAGTCCTACACATCTCTATTAGTTAAAGTTTACACATTTCTATCATCGGCGAAATAAATAAATTAGAATTACGAAAGATAACACTGATTTATAAGGTTTTTCTTTCTCAATCTGAATAGTGATTCTTATGGTTCACGTTTTCTTTTAGCTGCTGAAAAAGAATGTAAGATTAAAATAAAAAGTTCATCATCCACAGATTTTGTGTGTGTAAAAGGATTTTATGTAAAAAAAACTCAAGAAATTTAAACAATTTGCAGCTTTTTTATCATACTTTACGAAGAATAAAATCATAACTATCACTATATTCTTCATTTCTTCCATCACAATAATTTTACAACAAAATTATAATACTAATTGTTTACCATAAAATACAACACGGAAAATTATTTTGATTGATTCAACAAAATTATTTTCAAATCTATATCCAGCAAAATTTTTAGATCTTCCAGCAAAAATCGTTCTTTTCATATGTCAATAAATTTTATTTTTTTAATATATTACTTTAAATTGCAGTAAAAGAAGCTTCATATCATTTACATTTACGCACTTTTATATATAAAAAATACTTAAATTTCTTATAACTATACATTACGAATTTGCATTATTACATAAGTAATTTAAAGCGGAATTTCTAAAAATTAAAGAATGATGGAATTTTTTGATAAGCATATCTCTTTCTAATGCAAAAAAATCCAAGAAACAGTCATTACTATTGAGAAACACAAGATCAAAATTTGTTATTCACACGTATTAAAGAAGAATAAGAATATTGTTCTAAATTTATAAATACATATAAACATTTTTAATTAATATTACACAAGATTTTATTTATATACAGTGGCGGACGAAAGAAAGTTTAAAGTCGGTACCCGTGTATATGAGTATTGGTAACAATTAGTACTAAATTGTTTTTTGTGATGTTGGTCATACTGAGCTGCTTCTCTCTGTCCGCGATATCTCGTCACTTTAAACAACGTAGGACTTCTTTATTTTTCACTTCTTTATTTTTCGTTTATTTCACTTGTTTCTTGCATTGTTCATTAACAATCTATTTTGTTTGAAATTTCCGGTAGACAAAAGTGAGTTTAAAATACATATTTTATAATAAACTTCTAAAAATTTGTTGATTTTTCTCTTTCTATATATGTTTTGTTCTTTTTAACTTATTCATTTTTAATCTTAATTATCTACATAGATGAATGGAAGTAATAGAAGAAAATCCGTCGATGTTAGGCAAATGATAGTTATAAGAACAGAAAAATGGCCTAGGATTCAAAGAAATTTCAAAAGGATGCGAAATTTCCATGATGGGAGCGAAGAAATTTTGTGACAAATGCGACAAATACAGTACTGTAAATAATTTAGTAAAATGTGGCAAACCAAAAAAACATCGATGAGAAATGACAGGATGATAATTCGAGAAGTAAAAAAAAATTCCGCCATACTCGAGCCATCAAAGAAAATTTAAATCTCGTTCACATACACGAAAGAACGGTGAGAATCAAACTAAAGAGATCAAGAGAAAATGGATTAAAAAATTACATAGCAAGAAAGAAACCTTTTATTAACGCTAAAAATAAAAAAAAACGTCTACTATTTGCTAAACAGTATATTACTAAGTCCTTATCATTTTGGGAATGTATTATATGATTTGACGAATCTATATGTATATAAATTTGAATTGACGAATAAAAAGAAACGGAAAAGCCGAGGCTTTAGCAAATAGTAGACGGTTTTTTTTATTTTTACTAATACTCATATATACTCGGGTACCGACTTTAAACTTTCTTTTGCCACTGTATGTATAAATACATATTTGCATGGGCATTTATACAATGCTTATACTGCAAACGAATGAAATGGAATTTTATGTTCAAAATACTTCGTAAGTGATAATAGCTCCATACTGCAGTTTTCAAAATATTTTTAAATGGGCACAAAATGCCCAGGAGAGCGAATTTTCGTTGCTTGGAGGATTAAATGTAAGTATTTTGTGACAGAACGCGACGAAGTGGACTTCCGGCAACACGACCGAATACGAGTGGATGTTTTGCGTTCCGTCCACCTGCAATCATATGGAAATACAGGAGACTCTCGAGCTCGCGCTCGACCCATTGAAAGTCGAGGGGCGTGTAGACATGACTATCACCGTTTCTGAGGAAACGTGTCACACTTTGGAGACTGTTCGAACAACCTGGGACCCTGCCGATTGGTGTTATATGTAAATAAAGCTCACTAATTATATCATACGAATGATTTATCTTACTGCAATAACATGCCTAATTTGTGTACAACGTTCGAAAATTTTAGAGCGATTCTTGCGCTGTTTGCATTGACCATTATAGTTAGCACGGGGTACGATTTCGCGATACAACGGCGACCTGTCATAACGGAATCGAAAGGTAAGATATAAAAATATGAAAGTATAAGTATTTATTTTTTAGTCTTTTAATAATTAATAAGAAAGATTGAACGGCCAAAGACGAACAAACACAGGTACAAACAAGTTGTAAAAATTATTTTCTTAATTTTCTAGCATAAAACGCAATGAAACTAGTTTCGATTCTTACTAGGACTTTCTCAATCGCATTACTTATTTAATTAATGAAAATACGCATTGTGTAGTCAGTGAATTACGTTGTATGCTAGAAAATTAATTAATTAAGTAATTTTAACCTATTAAATTGCTCGTCTTTGCGCGGAAAGAACAATTTTGCTGAATCAAGATCTAAAAATAATTTTTGTTTAATAATCAAAATAATTTTGTGCGAAAGTCAAAATGATTGCTAGAATATCAAAACGTTTTATAGCAATGCTTATCAGTATTTTAACATTCCAACAAATTATTTTAATGATTCAACA